CACTCAACCTCCAGCTGCTCTCTCCTCTCTACCCACGCTCTCCTGGGTGTCCTTCACTCAGCTCCAGTCTGGCTCCTGGTGACAGACCTGCTCTGGTTGCTGGAGGTCCCAAGTCTCTGCTGCACTCTCCAAGCCACTGCCGCTCCTCACTGTGGCTTTTTCATGGCAGAAATTATGCAGACCCCTGATGCTTGAATGGCTTTCTCAGGGTCTGCCACTTCTGCAATGATGCCCCAAGGGTCTCAGTTCCTGACGACTGGCTGGGGCAGTCACTCGCACTCTGCTACCTTGGCTTTCTGAAGCTGCTGAAGCTGCTCAGACTGCCAAGTTTGCAGTGGCTGTGAGGTTCTGGATGCTGCTTTATGCATCCCAGGTCCCATCTGTGCTTGGGGAAAAACTGCTCTACCCTAAATTACTTTATATTAAACCTTCACCATATCCCTAGAGCCTATATTTCTCAACCTTCACCAAAACTTTATTAAAACTTTAAACCTAACTTACTAAATAGAGAAACAGAAAAACAGACATAGACAGAGACAGATAAAGATACTTGCTGCAGCCTAACTTTACTTTGCTTTACCTATATACAGTTTTTGCTCCCGAAGAATAAACTACCACCACCTTAAACTTCATAACCAGACATGCTCAGCTGCTTCCACAGTGCTCCCTACTCTCACTTATTTCCTCTGCACCCAAGTCCCTGTTTGGGCACCGTCTGTGGGAGGCCAGCTCCAACCTTTTCTAGGGTTCCTATGGGAGGAGAGAGGAGTAAAGACATATTAGGTAGAAAGATCATGGAGAGGAGAAAGACAGAAGCACAGGACAGCTTTGGAAGGATCTGGGTCAATACCCAATTTCTCTTTCTGTTTATTTAAAAGATCTTTTTATAACAATGTCAAGGGGTGGGGCAAAAGACCTCCCCCTTGCTAGATCAAAGAACACCACACAGACAAGTGTAGACCCTTCCAAACACCTGGTGACCACGCCTGTGGTCAAATCATCCCCTTATGCAGCCTTGCTTGGTAAAGCAAGCTCAGATTCTCAGACCCTGAGTAATTTGGGCCTCCACACACCAGGTTTTCCCTCTCCCAGCTTGACCATCCCATTTCCTCATGTTCTCATCCCCCATCCCCTCCCCTCTATGGTTGACCCCCTCTTCCCCAATTTACTCATGGAAATCTCATCTTCCCAAGGTGGTCTATGTGTCCCTCTTAGGGTCATCTTTGTTTCCTAGCTTCTCTGGAGCTGTGTTGTAGTCTAGTTATCCTTTGCTTTACATCTAGTATCCACTTATGAGTGAGTACATACCATGTTTGTCTTCCTGGGTCTGGGTTACCTCACTCAGGATGATTTTTTTCTATTTCCATCCATTTGCATGCAAATTTTATGATGTCATTGTTTTTGTTTTTACAGCTGAGTACAATTCCATTGTGTATATGTACCACATTTTCTTTATCCATTCTTCAGTTGAGGGGCATCTAGGTTGTTTCCAGGTTCTGGCTATTATGAATAATGCTGCTATGAACATAGTTGAGCAAGTGTCCTTGTGGTGTGATTGAGCATCCATTGGGTATATGCCAAGAGTGGAATCACTAGGTCTTGAGATAGATTTATTCCCAATTTTCTGGGAAGTCACCATACTGATTTCCAAAGAGACTGTACAAGTTTGCACTTCCACCACAGTGGAGCAGTGTTCCCCTTGCTCCACATCCTCTCCAGTATAAGCTGTCTTCAATGTTTTTGATCTTAGCCATTTTGACTGGTGTAAGATGGTATCTCAGAGTTGTTTTGATTTGCATTTCCCTGATGACTAAGGATTTTGAGTGATTCCTTAAAAGTCTTCCAGCCATTTGACTTTCTTCTGTTGAGAATTCTGTTTAGATCTGTAGCCCATTTTTTAATTGGATTGATTAATATTTTGATGTCTAGTTTTTTGAGTTCTTTATATATTTTGGATATCAGTCCTCTGTCAGATGTGGGGTTGGTGAAGATCTTTTCCCATTCTGTAGGCTGTTGTTTTGTCTTATTGACTGTGTCCTTTGCCTTACAGAAGCTTCTCAGTTTCAGGAGGTCCCATTTATTAATTGTTGCTCCCAGTGTCTGTGCTACTGGTGTTGTTTAGGAAGTGGTCTTCAGTGTCAATGCATTCAAGGCTACTTCCTACTCTATCAGGTTCAGTGAAACTGGATTTATGTTAAGTTATTTGATCAACTTAGACTTGAATTTTATGCATGGTGACAGATAAGGATCTATTTGCAATCTTCTACATGTTGATACCCGTTATGCCAGCACCATTTGTTGAAGCTTTCTCTTTCCATTGTAGAGTTTTGGCTTCTTTGTAAAAAATCAGGTATACATAGGTATGAGGGTTAATGACAGGGTCTTCAATTTGATTCCATTGGTCCACATGTCAGTTTTTATGCCAATATCAAGCTATTTATATTACTATAGCTCTATAGTAGAGCTTGCTGTCAGGGATGGTGATACCTCCAGAGGTTATTGTACAAGATTCTTTTTAGCTATCCGGGGTTTTTGTTTTTCCATATGAAGTTGAATATTGCTCTTTCAAAGTTTGTGAAGAATTGTATTGGGATTTTGATGAGGATTGCATTGAATCTGTAGATTGCTTTTGGTAAGATTACCATTTTTTATTATGTTGGTTCTATCTATCCATGAGCATGGTAGATCTTTCCATTTTCTGATATCTTCTTCAATTTCTTTCTTCAAGGCCTTAATGTTCTTGCCATCCAGGTCTTTCACTTGCTTAGAGTTACCCCCAAGGTATTTTATATTATTTGTGGCTATTGTAAAGGGTGATATTTCTCTGATTTCTTTCTCAGTTCACTTATCATTTGTATATAGGAGGGCTACTTATTTTTTTGAGTTAATCTTATATCCTGCCACCTTACTGAAGGAGTTTATCAGTTGTAGAAGTTCCCTGGTAGAATTTTTGGCCTGAAAGTTAAAAGTTTGATCTTTTAGTTTATTTACCATGAAAGTAAAGTACTCACTTAAGCATTGATTTGATAAGCAGAAGAGGAGAATGTCTTTCCTATACTGAATGACCAATACCCCAGGAAATGTAACCAGCATTGGCATAAGTGCTTTACAGACTAGCTGCAATTGTTTCTGTACTAGACACTGGGCTTGTTTTAATGTGTTTTCTCCCATGAAGAGACCATTGATCAATCTATGTCGAGTAACTGCCAATGTGAGGGAAAATAAACAAAAAATAAACAAACAAATCTAAGCTCTGGGGATCCTAGCTAGCTCATGCTGCAGGTGGTGGAGCTCTGCCCACCATCCCTAGGAACTCAGGTGTTGCCACTCTGTCTGGTGGGCCCTGTGTGGAAAGGGCAGACAGACACAAGCAACCACAGAGCTTTGAATTACAAAATGATCCTGCAGGGCTCAGGCCCCCAAAGTGTGTGATTGGCCTGGAAGTCTAATGACTACAGAGTCCATTCTGCCCACCCTGCCAAGATGTGTCCAGAAAAAAATTCTGTTCCTCTTCATTTAGTAAAAATATCTGACAAAGATTTTATGTTCCCTTTCATGGGTGCTCATTCATTAGTTCCTCTGCATATAAAGTTGCAGAGCTCTAGCTCTGAATTTTTTTTGTGGATATTAACAAACTTTTCAATAATTGTAGAAAAATGATTTATTGAAAAGGACTGAGAGGAACCCAGGTTCATCCCACTTTTTCACTTAAGGTCTCAGATCATTTACAGTGAGAGACTCGAGTTTTCTGCACCCCTAATTTTTTCAAAGAAATCTTGTCTTTTCCTGAGGTTGTACTCCCCACATGGTGCCAGTTACAGGGGTCCCTCTAGGCACCATAGCTGGCAGGGAAATGAACCTTGAAGAGTGAAAATGAAAACTCTGTTCACCACTATTTAGTCAGATTAGATCACATAGAGAGTCTGATGCCAAGGGCTATATTGCTGGAATATTTAAACACAGCACAATTTGGAAAAAAAAATTTCCTGGTGCAATATAACCCCTGGTGTGCAAGGAGACATACTTACATTGAAACTCTCTAAGTATGTGTCATTTCTTCTAAGAAGGTGGGTTCTAGAGATAGACTATATGTATTTAGCTTAAGGGCCTAAGTAAGGATAGATGTATGGCATGGGAAGAATATCAGCCATAGGATAGACAGCATAGAGGTCACTTAGGCTATTAGCCACCTACAGTCCTGGTTGTGGGAGCTTGACATTGCCTGGCCCTTTGGATAACACAGATCACTAGGCTGTTAATCTCCTCCAATTCCCAGCCTTTTATATTGGATAAAAAGTTATATGCCCTTTCCTTTGAGAGGACAATCATGTGTGTTTAATGTTCCTGGTTTCCCTGGAGATCTCTGGGCACAAGGACCTTCATGCGCACTGGTTCATATATGCAACCTCATTGCTGTGTCCAGAAACACATTTCTAAGAGGATCAAATGACTTATATTCTATTGTTTAGCCTATTTCCTTATCAGGAGAAAATTAAAATATGTGACTATTTTACCTTTATGTTTATGTGGTGTCTGCTAAGAACATCCTGAAACATGATTGTTATTTCAGGATAACTTGGGATTCAGGAAAAACTAGTTGAGGTCACCAAAGTACTGCCATGCCTGGAGACTGAAGGCAAGCAAGGGACATGAGTTAGTTGGCAGAGAGTACAGTGAAATATTGAACAATCTAAGTGTTCCTGTGGGTTAAATAATGCCTTCACTATCATGAACTCTCATTACTTTGTGAAATTATGGAAATAATTATGTTTACATTTAATTTTTACAGTTTTCAAATGCATACTCAAGTGTAAGACAATTGAAAATGTCATTTTAAACATACCTTATTTTCAGTTTACCAAAGAGGAGCAATGGAGGACTTTCAAAGCATCAAAGTGATTTTTCAGGTTAAGATTTATCTTTTGTATTCCAGATCTCTTGAGCTTCCTTAATGTTAATTTTTAAGCCGTTTTGGTCTGTTCTTTTTTTTTTCCTGATAGCGTTTCTACAAGAAAGCAGCTGCCTTTGTGCTGAGAGCAGTTGGTAAACATTCTCCGCAGCTAGCCCAGGCCATAGTTGACTGTGGAGCTCTAGACACACTGGTGATATGCTTGGAGGATTTTGACCCTGGAGTCAAGGAGGCTGCAGCCTGGGCACTTGGATATATTGCAAGACATAATACAGGTAATGGAGCATATTTGAAAACAGGGTAACTCCAGATTTATTACATGAATCCAGTTTCAATAAACAGTAGGTTGAGTTTAGGGTGATTGTGTACATGATGAGAAATCAGGTTTGAATGATAGTTTATTTGGATCACATACCCACAACATGCTCATACATATTAGTTTTTTTTTTTTGTGGGGGAGGGGTGATTCTTTACAAAAATTTTATTTGTGATTTTATTTATTTATAAAAGTACATTACATTAGTATTGCAAATAAAGACATATTTTCTCTAAAAGATGTCTACTTAATCATCTATTTTACCTCATGATTAACTTCCTATGTTAATACAAAGACAAAGTCTTTTCTTTCTGCTTTGAAAGGTATCTTAACAGAATATGTCTATTAATCTTTGCCTGGAAAGTAGTGGCTTCCTATTGGTTGGGTTTAGAAAGCAATTGGAATTCCTTTTTCTCTTGCCAAAAGGTCATTAAGTCTTGAACTTAAATACAACTTTCTATAATTTGCAATCTCTCCCTGAGTCTCTTTTATTATATACAATCTCTTTCTTAAAATAACTATTACATTTTAAAACATTCAAGCATTACTTAGGAAATGATTAAGGAATCTAAAGTTAGTTTACTATTTTAATAACTTAACAGTTACTTTCTATTAATAATCAAAAAATAAAAATAATATGGATTGAGAATGAACTAATGGTAAGAGGATGAATTCTGAGAACTGATACATTTTAGAATCTTGCCTGAGTCCTTTCAAAAACTTAAAATGTTAAGAATACAATTTACACAGTAAAAAGGATTTGATTTGTTTTCAGTATGAAAATACTTTTAATTTCTTTACTGCACGTACAATGGCATCCAAGTCATCAATTTCTAAGATCAAACTCTTGAAACACTGGAAAAAATGCCTCATGTTTTTCTAATTTGTTGATAATGCTTTGTAGGTCTTCAGGTCCTAATACTTGTTTAACCTCCTTATTCACATCCTCATTAATTATCTTACACAGTTTTCCAACTGTGCTGACCACCACACACAATGAGGATGAACTGTCTAATTCTAAGAGCTCCTGGAGGTTTCTCACAGCGTTGTTCATTTCTCCAAGCCTGGTATACACTTCATTCATTCGGGGGTAGACTCCATTTAAAGACTGCACATCAAAAAGCTTTTGGAAGTGAGAAACAACAGCTTGCAAAGTTTGAAAGTTTGGCATGTTGCTGCTCTCCTTCTCATTTCCAATCTCTTCCAACATGGTATCTACCATAAACAACAGATCTTCTTTGACACCTTCATTTTCATCTGGTTCTGCAGACAGTGTTTTTAAGGATTTATACAAACCCTTTAAGGATGTAAGTTAATCTGCCCACATTTCTATTATAGGAACAAGATGTTCAAATCCACAATCTTGAACAATATCTTTATTGAAGTTTTGGGCTCCTCCGTTGCTCCTTTTATAAATAATTACTGGAGCTCAAGGATTGTGTATAATTGAATTTCAGCACCTGAAAGTATCTCTGGTCAATTAGAGCCTGTTGATGGCTGTCTTTTGGGGGCTCATCTTTTTTCTCCATGTCATCAACCTTTTTTTGACCAATAATCTCTTGTAATTTGATGCTTTTCTTAAGGGCCTTTTCCAGTTTCTTCGCCTGTTGTTTATAAAATCTTAATTCATGTTCTGTGGGCCTGTTTTCCAGATCCTTTTGGAGGCTCAGCTTCTCACCTAAAAGTATGTCAATCTTGGATTTTGATTCCTTAAGTTGATTCTGTAACATCAGAAGGTTTTTATAACTTGGTGAGACATCCAGGTTTCTGTAGTCTTTTTCTTCTGACTGACTGTCATCTTTCTTACATTGCCTTTGTGTATGGAATTTTCGAAGTTTAGATTCATAGTAATCAATTAGACAAAGCAATTGTTTATCCAAGACTGTGTGAGGAACTCTCTTGCAGAGATGGGCAAACACTCTGTTTTGAGTGACAACATGCTCTTTTTCCTCTTTGGTTGATCTGTAGATAGGCTTCTGCAAAGAAGCAATGGTCTCTTCTTGCTCCATTCGTTTTTTCTTATAGTGCTGGCATTTCATCTGTAACAGTTTATGCTCCTTTTGAAGGTATTTTATTCTATTTTGTTGCTGGCAAACCCTGTTTAGGGACTCATCTTCTAATTCATCAATTTTGCATTTCATGCTGTCGATAATCTGTTCCAGGTCATTGGCTCAATGTTCCTGGTGTTGCTCAGTTCTGTTCTAGCTGAAGTTCACTTTTAAGCTGCTGGTTTGTCTCCATGAGCTCCTGTATCATGCTCTGCTGACGTGTTGGTTCTTCCATCAACATTTTGAAATTCTACCTCATTCTTTATGATGATTGTTTGTCAAAAACGCTGAGATCTTTGAGATTGGTTCTTTTTTTGTTGTTGTTTTTGTTTTTTTGTTGTTGTTTGTTTTTTGTTTTTTAATGATGGGAACAAAAATATACCTAAAAGCGAAGCTTCTGGAAAAACCATTTGTTCTTCCCTGTCTTGTATCTCTCCCCAAACTTGACCTTGGCCTCCCACCTGGCCTTGTGTTTCAGGGCTGGGTCTCTAAAGACATCCTTGTTGACAGCTGTTTTGTCCAAGGGGATGTTCACAGAATACCTTGTGGGCATGAGGTGATTATAGTTATAAACTTTCACAAAGGACTTGATCTTTGACCTGTTGGCGATTTTCTTCATGCCCATGGCAGCTGTCACTTTTGGGGGATAGCGGTCAACTACAGCAAAAACAAGTTCAAACAATATTGCTCATCTAAAGAAAATGTCATGATGTACACACAGTGACATAAAACCAAGCTGAAGCCTTAGACTAAGAGATTTCAGGTGCTCTCAGCAGAGAACATAGGAATAAGATGGGAATATAGAAATAAAAGGTTATGAGCTTAAAAGATGGACGTTGACAGCCATCAGCTCTGCCAGTAAATAGAGATGAACTTTTAACTAGGCCTTTCTTTGCAGCTCTGTCAGCAGTCCAAATGTTAGTTTTCTGTGATTGCTTTCTGTAGCCCTGGGGTTAGCTATTCTTGATAACCCCACCACCACTTGATAACCCCCAACCACTCACAACTGAAATCAAAGTTAACTTTTTCATTTTTCTTTATTAAGAAATTTTCTACTCACTCCACATACCACCCACAAATTCCCTCTCCTCCCTCCTCCCACCTCCTAGCCCTCTCTCCCAAGCCACCCTGCATTCCCATATCCCCCAAATCAAGATCTCCTATGGGAAGACAGCAGAGCCCGGCACACTGAGCCTAGGCAGATCCAAGCCCCTTCACACTGCACCAAAGCTACGCAAGTTTGTCCAGTGACTGGTGGAGGCAGATGCAGAGATCTGCTGAGAGCACCTGAAATCTCTTAGTTTAAGGCTTCAGCTTGGTTTTATGTCACTGTGTGTACATCATGACATTTTCTTTAGATGAACAATATTGTTTGAACTTGTTTTATTTTCTAGACATTAGTATCCCATGACTCTGGCATCTCCAACATCCTGTGGTCTCCAACACAATCCAGGCTTCACCTTCACAGCTTCACACAATGGCTTCTCCAAGGCTCAATGTGGGAACTCTCCTGCCACATGCCTGGCCTCAGCAACTTTCCTTAGCCCTGTGGGAAAATTCTACAAACCCTTTACTCCTGTATCTGCCACGACTCTAAAGCAGGAACCAGGTGGCAGATGCTGCACCTTCTGCTGCTTGCCTGGGATGGATCCTGGCCCCCTTCTTGAATTACATTTGCATAAGCCTTGATTTGTTGTTGCTCTTCAGCAACAGGTAATTCCTTAGAGCAGTTCTTTCATTGCATGGGGTCTTGCCCCGAGGTCACCACTCCCTTTATTTCCTCTCTCCTTATCTCTTTCAGCACAGACCTCACTCTAACATCAATGTTCCTGATGCTCTTTTCTCCTCAAACAGGGCATTTTGTATTTCTTTTGCTCCACTTGTTCTTTTTCATTGTAAATCTGCATAAGAGTGTTTACTAATGACCATATGGTAGCGTCAATGTTAGGCTACCTTGAAATCTCCTCTGCCAACAAAATTAATTCAAAACTCTTCTATTTAGCTTCAGGCAGATTCTTAGGACAAGAGCAGAAAGCAGCCACGTGCTTTGCCAAAATATCACAAGAATGGTCTCTAGCCCAGTTGCTGGTATTGTTCCCTTGTGAAACCCCCACAGTTTGCATAGTTCTCAGCACTATTGTCTTCCATGTCCTAACAGGATGGTTCATTAAGCCCTACTTACATTGTCCAACTGCTTTCCTAGTTCAAAGTCCCAAAGTCTTCCATTTCCCTCAAAGTAACAACACAGTCAAGACTGTCACAGAAATACTCCACTCCTAGTACCAATTTTTGTCTTAATTACTATTCTTTTGTCATGAAAAAACCACCATGACCAAAACAACTTACAGAAGAAAGAGTTTCCTGGTGGCTGACAGTTTCTGAAGGTGAGTCCATGACCATCGTGTCAGGAAGCATGGTGGCAGGCAGGCAGGCAGGCAGGCAGGCATGCATAGTGCTGGATCAGTAGCTGAGAGTTCACGTAGAACCCACAACCATAAGGCAGAGAGAAAGCTAACTGTGGAATGACATGGGCTTTTGAAACCTCAAAGCCCACCCCAACATACACACCTCTTCCAACAAGGTCACACCTCCTAATCCTCTCCAAAGAGTTCCACCAGTTGGGAACCAAGCATGCAAACATATGAGCATATGGGGGTGGGCACTCTCATTCAGACCACCCCAGGCACCGCTCCCTGGGAAGTATAAGATAGCTAGCTAAGCATGAGCCTGTGTGAGGTAGAAAGCAGTGCTCCTACACAGTTTTTACTTAAAGTTCTTGCCATGACTTACCTCAATGAAAAACTGTAACCTGTAAGCTTAAATAAACCTTTTCCTTCCCTTAATTGTTTTTGACCAGAAATGAAGTTAGAACAACAGTCCACAGGAAAATAGGAACTATACTGTATTATGC